ATATAAATTGATATGTTTATCATAGATAGACATAATTAAAATAAATGGCATTTAATTTTATAAGTTAAAAAATATAAAATATTTATTAAAATATGTATTAATGATTTACCTACATAATATCCTAAGATTGAGTAATGAGTATCCAAAATATAAATTGTTGACAAAATCGAATACTACATTTCATTCAATTAATTGACATACTACTAATCCGATGAATATTAAATATAATAAAGCAATAATAAAATATATTAATGTAAACTTATAAAACAATATTATTGTATCCTTTTAATTTTTTTTAATATTATTATAAGAAAACAAACTAAATTCGAAAATATATGTTATAAAAAAATTGAGTGTTCCGAATTTTTTAAAAAAGACTTTCGAAAAATATATTTCGGAAAATCAAATGAAAATGTGAGATAAAAAAACAATTAATCAACCGTCTATAAATATGATTATGATTCCTTCACCATAAAAAAATAGCGTGTAAAATATATTTATCGGGATGTATATATATATTGATATGTATAGGTTGGGGATAATTACATTTTTAATTCTTATACTATACACCGAAATTGTTTTTAGTCCTCATATAATTAGACAAACCCCCCTCATTACACTCACCCAATTACAATGAGTCCAAAAAAAATTCTTATTTTTAAGTTAAATCCAATGTATTTTTAATTAATAAAAATGAATATAGTTTCACAATTATACCCTTCTTCCTATTTGACATAATTCCATCATTTAATATGAATTTATAAAAGTTCAATTATTTACCCAAACTCACAAATCAAATTCTCTCAATCTATCGTGAATAATTAATTAGTTCTATCATAAATACCCTTAACCTAATATCGTTTGTCTCACCGCCAGTCCAGTATTTGGCATGCCGCCGGACGGTTTTCCGGCAAAGGGAGATCCGCCCTTGCCGGATTCGCAATCCTTACCAAACTCACAGCCGCAGAAGCAGTCCTTTGCAGCATTGGTGTCCAAACAAACGGAGCCTATTAAACCTAGGTTGCAAACGGTCCCATTGGCGAATCGTCAAGCTTTGGTTATTGATGAGGCGCCAGCAGTTTTGTTCTCCTCGGTGGAGATGGAGCAGTTAAATAAGCAATGCGAAAATACACTTATTATGAAATTTTCGGCGGGCCGCCCAAGTTTGTTTGAAATACGTTCCCACATAGAGACGGAATGGAGACTGGAATACCCTCCGGCAGTGGGATTGCTTGACCCTCGTCACATTACTATTCATCTCATGTCTGTGGAAGATACTAATAGGGCTTTATCTCGCAGTTCAAATATGATCAAGGCTAGCCTTTTCCGGCTCTTTCGCTGGACCCCAAGTTTTGAAATCGGAAAAGATTGTGCGCTAATGGCGGTATGGTTTAGGATGCCGCAATTACCTCTGCCATTATTTAATAAATCGGCCCTACATCGGCTAGGATCTTCCTTCGGTACGATGCTTCGAATTGATGATAGAACGCTCTCACTCACGCATCCGATGTTTGCTCGGATTTGCGTGGAAGTTGATGTCTCTAAACCGCTGCCTTCTCGCATTTGGATAGGGGCGTCTAAAGAGAAGGGATGGTGGCAGACATTGCAGGCAGAAGGGAATCATGCGTATTGCTCTCATTGTGGTCTACTTGGGCATATGGTTGGTTTATGTAGAAAGAAAAGAGAAAACCAGTTACAAGGTAAGAAGGAACAACATCCAGAGAAAATCCCTACTATTCTGAAACGAACTGGGGAGGAGAGAAATAAAATAAAGGAGGATCGGCAAAGGTTTCAACAAATGGGTTTAGTCAAGAACAACAATATCAAGGAACAGCAGCCACCGTCAATTGATAAAACCGATGGCTTTAATTTCGATGGCACCAACACAAAGGAAGTGGAAGCTACTGGTGGTGAATCAGGTTTACCTTCAAATCTGCATGTGGAAATTGTATCGGAGGACGCCTTATCTCAGGAGGCGGACGTCACCGGTAGGAGGGTCCCCCCGCATATTAACACGCATCAGAATATAGCATTCACGTCGGAAATTCTGCTTGACCAGATTCTGTCGACAAAAAAGGGAGGAGGCGTACTAGAAAACAAGGTAACTAATTTGGAGACCACAGAGATTTTACACACTAGTAATACATTCCAACTGCTTGCCGTAGATGAGCGAGTTAATATAGACGATGCATTGGAAAACGAAGGCATACAGTCTGACGGGCACTATGACGACGGAGAAGAGTTATCGTTATCACCTAAATCGGACCCTGGAGGTATGGCTTTGGTCCCAGCAAAATCCAAGCGAAAGTATAATAAAAAAGTGGTAGCCCCGAGTGATCGTTTAACTCGATCTTTGGCCAGAATAACCGACTTCCCTCATAATGTTTGATATGGCTTGCATTATATGGAACGTTCGTGGGGTTTGTCAGAAACCTACGGTTGATCATCTTAAACTTATGGTTAGAAATAATAATGCCCAGGTGCTTGTTTTGCTGGAGCCAAAGGTTAGTCACAATAAGCTTCAACGATTGGCGTGGCAACTTGGTTTTCAATCGTCTTTGCATGGTGGGGAAGACAATAGATACATTTGGATAATGTGGAAAATAGGATGTACAGTTACTTTGTGTGAGACTAAAAGCCAATACATTTCGGTGGAAATGAGGCTTGCCACTGGGCAACTGTGTTACGCTGCTTTTATATACGCTAGCTGCTCGTATATCACCAGAAAAGATTTGTGGAATTCGATGTCCGATTCGATTGGCAGCGGGACTGCTCCTTGGCTGATTGGAGGTGATTTTAACACGATTGCTCATGTTGAGGAAAAACGAGGTGGTAGGGTGGTGGATCCTACTGTGTTGTTTGACTTTCAAAATTTTATGCTTAACAATGGGCTCATGGATGTGGGATTTGTGGGGTCGAAATTCACCTGGTGCAATAATAGAGTGGGTGCAGCTCGGGTGTGGAAACGTCTGGATAGAGTTTTGATCAATAATTCGTTGCAAAGTATATTTCCTAATATGGCAGTTCGACACCTCGATAGGGTGTGTTCAGATCATGCGCCTCTATGTATTCAATTTGAGGGAGTGAAACGTAAGGCTAAAAGTCAATTTCACTTTCAGAGAATGTGGAGTGATCACCATGACTTCCATAACGTTATCAAATCTTCATGGGATACACCGGCAGAAGGATCACCAGGACAAATATTTTGCGAAAAACTGCGGCGGCTTCAACGTGTGCTTAAAGATTGGAATTGGTCGGTTTTTGGAGATCTTCAACTCAAGATTAAGGATCTGCAAGATCAAGTTCAACATTTGGAAAATCAGCTGCAAGGAGCATGGGATGAGCAGACATTTCAGAATTCCCTGACGGCCAAAAGAGAGCTCCTACAACTGGAAGAATGGGAAGCGGAACTTCTTTGCCAGAAGGCGAGGATTGCTTGGTCTAAAGATGGTGATAGAAACACGAAATTCTATCATGCAACTATAAAAGATCGACGCCGGAAACAACATATTACATTAACGAAGCGTGATGGTACTAGGACTCAATCTGGCAAGGAAGTGGCGGAGGTGGCAGCGGAATTTTATTCAGAGCTTTTCCGGGCTTCTGCATATTGTATTGACGAGGAGTTATTTGCTCATATTATTCTGACTGTGACTAGGGAGATGAATGCTGGATTTTGTGTTTTACCAACGGAGTTGGAGGTTAAAGAGGCAATGGAAGGACTTAATCCGAATAGCTCTCCGGGTGAGGATGGATTTACGGGCTATTTTTATAGATCGTGTTGGAGCATTATCAAAGGTGATCTAATGGCGGTGATCAAAGACTTCTACAGCGGAGGTTATCTTCCATCAGGGTTCACTAAAACTCTATTAGTGCTTATTCCAAAAACTCCATCCGCTGCAGAGATTGGCGAATATCGACCTATCAACCTTGGAAACTTTTCCGGAAAAATTATATCTAAAATTATGGCTAATAGAATGACGGGACTTCTTCCTGGTATAATTGAAGAGGAGCAAGCAGGCTTTGTTAAAGGCCGGAGCATAACTACTCATACTGTGCTTGCCCAAGAGCTTATGGGTAACTTAAATAGATCCTCGAACGGAGGTAATATGGTGATTAAATTGGATATGGCCAAAGCTTACGATCGCTTGGAATGGAGATTTTTACTTCGAGCCATGACGACATTTGGATTTAGCCACCAAGCTTGTGATCTTATATATCGTAATATTTGCAATATAGGATATGGTTTTCGAATCAATGGTGAGATTGTGGGGCATTTTCGCTCGTCGCGAGGGGTTCGACAAGGGGACCCTTTATCTCCCATGCTTTTTATTATGGGGCAACAAATATTAACTGCCAACTTAAAGAAAGGAATCATGGGAGGTCAGATTCGTCCATACAAGATGGGGAGGAATGAACTTGGGATATCGCATCTTTTTTATGCCGACGATGTGCTTATTTTTACAAATGGGCACCCACAATCGGTTACCTCTCTTAAGGAGATTATCAATAAATATGAGCGGTCATCAGGACAGAAGACAAATACGACAAAAAGTGGAATCTATCTGGGCAAAGGGGCGACTGCTTTTAAAGTTCAAGTTGAAGGCATTTTGGGAATCAAAACCAAGGATTTTCCGATCATCTATTTGGGAGTTCCAGTTTCGGTGGGACGTAACAAGGCGGTTGATTATGAATTTTTAGTTAGTAAGATCCGTATGAAACTTGAGGGTTGGAAAGCACGATTACTCTCATTTGGCGGGAAAATTACATTGATTAAATCCGTCTTAGCTAGTGTTCCAGTATACACACTCGCATGCTCATACGTTCCAAAATCCGTTCTTAACCGTATTGAATAACTCATGGCCATGTTCTTATGGAGCTCTCGTGGAGCTGCGCGATTTCATTGGGTCAAGTGGGGCAAGATATGCAAACCAGTTGAAGAAGGTGGATTGGGAATTTGAAATTTGGCCCAAGTACAGAGGTGCATGCACGGAAAACTCATGTGGATGGTTTATAAGGGGGGCACTCTCTGGTCGAAGTTTGCAAAGCAAAAATATTTTCAAAATGGCGAGCTGGTTCAAAAATATTTTACATCGGCGATTTGGAAAACTATAAGTCTTCACGGCCCATTGATTGAGAATATTTCTCGGTGGATTATAGGGAAAGGAAATATCAAATTCTGGAGGGAGAATTGGCTTGGGGAACGGCTCAACTGTCCAACATTTTTAAACCACGAGATAACGGTCCGAGAAGGCTTAGATCGGCTAGAGGAACTCTTACAGTACATTCCTCCGAGCCTTCAAATAGGTGTACAACATGTGGTTCTTCGCCCGGACAAGGATGACGAGTTGATGTGCACTCTTTCTAGTTCTGGGGAGTTTTATGCGAAAGATTATTGGGAACTTCTTGCAGTTACAGGCGGGCGTCACCAGTGGGCAGAGAGGTTGTGGAAGCCATATATCCCTTTTAATTCGTCGGCCTTCTTATGGAAAGGATTCCACCTTGCTCTCCCTGTGGATGACCGCATAATTCAAAAAGGAATCCCCATTGCTTCGAAATGTAACTGTTGCCTAGTGCCTCGTTCGGAATCCATACAACATTTGTTACTTTCCTCAGATTGTGCCACTAAGGTGTGGAGTCACTTCTCGCATATTTTTCACACTCCTTGGAACAAGAACTCTATTGTGCTCAGCTTGCTTTTATGGTCTTACCAAACGAAGGACTATAACTCGTTTGCGGCAATTAAATTGTCGACGTGCGTATTTATTATGCATGGGATATGGAAAGCCCGGTGTAGCGCTCGGTTTGACGAAGAAAATATAAATCCTTTATCGATTATTCGGAAAATTATGCATCAATTGGGATTGGTGGCGATGCAGCTCAAACCAAAAAAGAAGAACTCTCCGCTCCAAGATAACATTCTTCAAAGTTTGAGGCTGCCGAGTGCTCCTGTGCGCGAACCGGTTCGCCGTTGGTTCCGGTGGGAGAAGCCTCCGTTAGGTCGTTATAAGTTGAATGTGGATGGGTCGTCTAAGGAGGGGTTGTGTGCGGGTGGAGGAATAATCCGAGATGGTCACGGGAGATTAGTGGCCGCTTTTTCTTCCTTTTATGGCCATGGTTCGAATAATAAAGGTGAATTGTCGGCTCTCTTAGATGGATTACAGGTCTGTCAAGCCTTGCGGCTGAGTAATGTAATTATCGAGAGTGATTCTCTGATTGTAGTCAATGCTATACATGGGAGGTCGTCAATTAGTTGGGACCTTACATATATGCTTTGCCAATGTAGTGAAATGCTTCCGTCGGGTTACTCAATTACTCATATTGTTCGACAAAAGAATGTTGTGGCGGATCGGCTAGCGGCTTGGGCATACAATCACATGGGTTATCAAGATTTTTTTTCAAACTAGGGATCTTCCAAACTCTGTTTGGGGTATGTTTCGTTGCAATCAGCTGGGTTTATGGGAGTTACGATAATGAAGATGGCGTAGTGGGCTGACTTTTTGATACTGCATAGCTGCCCCAATATGAAGACTGAGTTTCAAATCCAAAATCAACTGCATGAAGATATGTGGAGAGTTTTTCCTAGTTGGCGGAATTGCATATTAATCCCTGCCCGGGGTCCTTTTACAAATATCGAGAATGCTATAGGAATAGAAGTTTTAGCTTTTTTCAGTTTTACCCCATTTTGGGGTTTCATTGTAATAGACTCTATAGGCTCGTTTATGATTTTTTATTGCCATTGTAGGGGTACTCTTTTTCCCTGTGATAGGCCCACAGGGTTTTAACGAGGCCCTAAAACTTTTTATCATAATGGAATAATAAAATCTTTTTTTGGCCAAAAAAAAAAAAAAAAAAAAAAAAAAAAAAAAAAAATCTATCGTTTATTTTATTTTCTCTTTTTTTCTCCACGCCGCCGCTGCTCCTCTCTTTTCTTTTCATAGGAAGACTTCGTGGGTTATCGGATTTAGGAGTTCGATGCTTCTGATGGATCTAGGGCTTCAAATAGGCGGTTTCTCCATGTGCTTCTTGCTTCCATAGATGACGATATCTTTTCAAATTCGCGATAGACCGGGGACAACCGAGATCCACATCTTCGTCCAAAATCCGATCTGACATCTATTCCTCTCCCCTATCAATTGTTGATGTTTATTTTTGTATCTCATCTCATCTGTATGAGAGATGAACTCTTCCATCGGGTAAGAATTGGGTTTGAGAATACACACTTGTCCAACCCTGGTTCATGTTTGGACAAGTATGGGGAGGACTACTTTATATGTACATGACCCACCTCAATGTAAGAGTGGTTTTTGCACGTAGAGTGGTTTTCGTTAATTTCATAGTCATTTTCGTTAATGATAAGTTTTTAGTGAATTTTTGTAATGAAATTTGTTAATTACATAGTGATTTTCGTTAATTACAGAATGATTTTCATTAATTATAGAGTGCTTTTTGTTAATTTGATAAGTTTTTAGTGACTTTTTGTAATGGAATTTGCTAATTCCATAGTGATTTTTGTTAATTTACAGAGTGATTTTCATTAATTAGTGGTTTTTGTTGATTACATAGAGATTTTCGATATGTTTATAATGAATTTTCATAACGGAATACTATAATCACATAGTGGTTTTTGGTAAGTTTATAGTGAATTTCAATTTGTTAAAAATAATTTATTTATTTTTTAATTTAAATTTGAAAAACAAAAGTATAAAAAATAAAAAATCAAAATTAAAAAAAATGAAAAATAAACTTTTTTAAAAACAAAATCAAAATTTTCTTATGAAGAAATAAAAATGATATTTTTAGAATTGATTTGGGAGCATTATTTTGGGCATAAATCTGAAGCGTGATTTGTGGGTATAATTTTTGGAGAAGATTTGGGTGTAGATTATGTGTATATTTGTTTTTTTAAATTGAATAATTATACTAATTAATAATTAGTGGGGGCATATATGGTTTTTCAGGCCCATTGGATTTATGTCAAATATCATTTACAAATAAATGATTTATCAAGAAGTAAAATTTGAATGGAGGGTGTTTGGCATATAGCCCCATAAGGATTATTTCACAAAACCCCCTCGTCACATAAGTCCAATTACAATGAGCCCCAATTTATTTCTTATTCTTAAGATGAATCCAAAACATCTTTTATAAATAAAACTTAATTAGTATTACAAGTATATCCTTACCTACCTTATTAACGTATCTTAGAGTTGAATATAAATATACGTAATATCTGTTCCCTTAATATCACGTGTTCTCAATCTCACCCACTCGCCCACAAATCTCTCCACAAATCTCGCCCTTGAACATAATTTGTATCTTTTTTTTTATCTCTAGATTTTTTTTCACTTTTTTTATTTTCTATTCACCGTTGCACTTCTCCTTCCGTTCACCTCTGCCCCAACCCCCACCCGGCGACGCCCCAGTCGCCACTCCAGCCCTACCCGGTGCCGCCCAGCCCCCTCCCGGCGCCGGCCCAGCCCCCGCCCGGCGCCTCCCTAGTCCCCGCCCGGCGCCGCCCCATCCCCACCCGGCGCCGCCCCAGCCCCCACCCCTATTACCTCTCTCTTCACCATCGCCGAACGATATCTATGCGGTGGTAGAAAAAGGTAAATATATTTTTTTTCAATTCAATCATCTTTCAATGGTTTTAGGGTTTGTGGGGAAGGTTCCTATTTGATAACGATATTGAGAAAAAGACTATTAATTCTTATGAATTAATTTTTTTCTTGATCAGATTGATACAGTGACCCTTGTCGGCTTTGTTGGTGGTGGTGTACTGATCTTGCACTTTTTCTTGGATATAGTAGTGACTTGCGTTTTAAATAGCGGATTTTTGAATAGTGAATTTATGTTTTTTTAAGTTGTGTTAGTAGTGAATTTACGTATGTTTTTAGTGGATTTCTATAACTTTGTTGTTGATTATGTTATTATTAAAGTGGATTACGTTAATTTTTCGCAATTGGTCTTGCACTTTTTTCTCGGACATAGTAGTTGTTTACGTTTCTAATAGTGGTTTATGTTTCAAATAACGAGAAGAAGATGATTATACGGACTATGCTCTAGGGTTCATTGGAAAGAAGATAGTGTCTTTTATAGTGGGTTTATAGCTTCTTTTTCGCATAATTTTGATGTTTTCTTGTTAGAATTCATAGCGGTTTTCGATGTTTATATAATTGTGTATACATAGTAGTTTTCATGTTTATATAACTGTTTTATGCAGAGTGGTTTTCAGGTTTATATAGATGTTTTCATAGAGTGGTTTTCATAATATCAGGCTTTGTCTTTGATAAATTTATAGTTGTTATCAACAAATTTATAGTGGATTACGTCTAGTTCGTAGTGAGTTTCGATAAATTTATAGCGGTTTACAACAAATTTATAGCGGATTTCGAAGTTTATAGTGGATTCCACTTTGATAAATCTGTTGGATGTTTTTTTAAATATTAAAAAAATAAAAATTAATCGAATTAAAAAAATTAATAAAAAAAAAAAAATAATTAACAAAACATTATTTATTCTAGAAAAGTGGGAAAAAAAATCATTTAAAAAAAACCGGAATTAAGAAAAAAAAACTATTAAAAATGAAAATAAAAATAAAACTATTTTTTAAAAAATTCAAAATGAAAAACATGAAATATAAATAATAAAAAAAAATTAAAAAAAAAAAACCGAAAATAAAAAATTACAAATAAAAGAAAACCATTAAAAAAAAGAAAAGAAAAGAAAAAATAGAATTTGAGATGGCCTAAGAGCATCTTCGACCGGTTTCACCATTTTTTCACCAAATCCCATTTTTGGTGTTGAAAAAATGGGTTCATCTCCCACCGGTAGCACACCATTTTATCCTTTCACCATTTTTGGTGGAAAAATGGTATTTTTGGTCTCCAATGGATTTCACCAAAATTTAGACCAAATATTAAAATAATAATATTTCACCACTTATAGGAAATGGGATTTGGTTTGGTCTCCCATGGTAGCTCACCGTATATGCCTCAAAATTATAAATCTAATGTTAATCGTAATTTTATTATATTTTATTTGATAAATATTAATTATAGATCCAATGTTAAGTAATAAATTTTTTTAACTATATAATTTAAAAAATATGTTATTAATTTTAAAAATTATGTTTTCAACTTAAATGTCTCGTCCTATATTTCATCAATTAAAGTGTGTTTCGTTAATTATTCTATTATTGTTTATTATATTTTATTAATAGCAATTAGCGTATTAGTTAAGTAAAGAAATGAACTAATAAACATTGATACCAACAAAATATACAAATTAATTAAAAATAAGCATATTTAGATTATTAGAATTAATGTTTTGTTAATAATAACAAATGCATTTATATTTTAAAAACTAATTTAATAATTAATACCAATGTATTTACGATAAATATGCTAATAAGTTGGTAATCGGGTGCAATTAGTTAAAATCGTCATTTGATATGGTACTTAATAAAATGGTGTTAATTACGGCAAATCCTATTTTCACCTCTATATTTGGTAGGAAAAATAGGATTTGGTGGAAAAAATAGGAAAATGGTGGACCGGTGGGAGATGAAAATTCCTTCACCAAAAATTTTGGTGGAAAAATAGGATTTGAGTATTTGGTGATATGGGGGTTGACCACGGTGGGAGGCTAAAACCAAATCTCTATAATTTTAGGTGTAATGGTAATATAGGAATTTCGGGTGGGAGGCTAAAAACACCTAAATAAGATGAAAAAATGGCGTTATGGTGTCCGGTCGGAGATGCCCTAATATAGGAAGATATTGAGGGGATTAGCATATTCAAAACAAACTAGTTAATTTTTCTTAATAATAAATGGGGGTATTTTGGATAATTCAAGTCAATTGGGTTTATAACAAATATCAATTAATAAAAATGGATTTATCATTAAGTAAAAATTGAATGAGGGGTGTTTGTCATATAGCCCACTATAAAAAAGTAGTGTGTAGAATACATTTATCGGGATGTATATATATATATATATATATATATATATATATATTGGGGATAATTACATTTTTGGTCCTTATACTATACACGCAAATTAATTTTAGTCCTCATATAATTTTCTCCACGTTTTTAGTCCTCAAACAAGCCACTTTTTTACATTTTCGGTCCGCCATCAGATTTCGGTGTTAATTTGGATGGGAAAAGCACGTGTTGAGCACGTGATCATGGTGAAATAACCCATTCGATGCTATTTCTTACCTATATTTTTTATTTCGCCCCAATTTAACTTTATTTCTTCAATTTCGTCCAAAAACACATTAAATCCCAGCAAATTTGTTCTCCCTTTTCTTATAAAAGGTTGCCGCAGTTGTAATACGGCTCTTGTTTAGATAAAAAAAAATGACATTAAACAAAGATATATGCCCACAAAGTTCGTTCAAATTTAATTATACACATAAGAGCTATCTTGTTGATTAAAATTATGCTCAAGTTGAGCTATGTTGAGATAGAAAGAGTGGTGATCTGAGCTTAAAATTCGAACAAATCTTCACGACAAAGAATAAGAAAATTACTGAGCACTTGATGATCAATACATTACAACAGAACATGTATAAGTGAGCCATTGTTCATGTAAATGATACAAAGTTAACCCAAGAAATTAAAATCAAAACAATCTTGATAGCTTTCAAACTAAACCCGGCCCCAACTCACATATATATCTAAAGCTCACGACTCGTAAATCATATTTCTTACATCATGCATGCGTCGCGCATTCATATTTACAAGTTCAAAACACTTGATGAATTTACATTGTTATTAAAGTAAAAAAAAAAAAAGCAAAATGAGAGTTAATAATAAGAAGCAATATCGCAAAGGTTGGCAAAAAATTAAACGATACTAGTGTGAAGGGTTCCGCGACGACTCAAGGCTACACACAGGGGCGAGTCCACCCTTGGGCAAGGGTGGACTCAAGCCCCCCCTCAATTTATATATTTTACCCTATATTATACATATATATCTATTTAGCCCACCCAACTTTTATTAATTAGCCCACCCAAAATTTAAATTAATGCAAGAAAAGCCCCAATTTTTATTATTTAGTCCACTCAAAATTCAAATTAATGCAAAAAAACCCAATTTTTATTAATTAGTCCACCCAAAATTCAAATTAATTCAAAAAAAAATCTCTAATTTTTTTTACATTTCCTTTTTTTTCTTTTCCAATTTTCTGATTTTGTCACAAAAAGACCTAAAAAAAATTCGGGGGCGCTGCTCCCGAACCCCTGAAAATTTAAGCCCACCCTGGAACAAATTCCTGGACTCGCCACTGGCTACACATTTCACAATGCCATGCTCCAGATACTCCTCAATTAGTTTGATGACAATTCTCTGTACTGGGTCTACATGGGATTTAATGTTTTTTAGGACGAAATTGTAGGCATGAAGTAAAATTGAGGCTAGATAAAAAATTAAATAGTTGTAAGAAATGGGGTTGAAGGGGCTATTTTAGGCTTGTCATGTGCTTCGCATGTGATTTTTCCGCTAAAACTAACACCCAAATTAAACGGCGGATCGAAATTGCAAAAAAATTGGCTTGTTTGAGGACTAAAATCGAGGCAAGGACTAAAATCAATTTCAGTCTATAGTATAAGGACCAAAAGTATAATTTGAGTATAAAAAATATATGAGGCCAATTGGAGACCAAATTAACAATCTAGGCACTCCTTTTAACACTGACAAGATTAGATAGATATTCAAATCTAGGCTGAAATTACAATAACAATATAAACAACAACCACCAATCAAAGAAACAAAGGAAAATGAAAAAGTATCTCTATTAGCCTAAAACTAACTAAACCTGGCCATATAAATTTTCTTAAACTAACAAAAAAATGGTGAAATTGATCATATTGTATTTGATGCATGTTGAACGGCCCTCATAAGCAAGCTATCCCCATGAACAATTATGGAGATTGGGGAATTGCCAATCCCACGTGCTTTAGCGAGCATCATCTCCTTCATAAGGGCCCTGAATTCGTCGGGATCGATTGTTCCGCTTTTGTCAACGTCAAATTTATTGAAGAGCAAGTCGTAGAGGCTGTTGATCTCGTCCTTCGATTGCAGGTCGAATTTCATGGATGACAATTTCCCCACCCTCTTCTGGAGTTCGTCGCGGGACAAAACTCCATCCGCGTCGGCATCTAACGTTTTGAATTTCTCATTTGTCCATTTCTCAAATGCTTGCGAGTCGTTCACAAATTCCATCACTGTTTGGCCGTCAACAAATTCTATGCTCATGTTTGGTTTTGCAGTTCAAGCAAGAGAATAATATATTTACTATGATTATGTGATCATATGCAAAATGATAATGTTATAGAAGAATGGTTTATTGGTAATACTTGTTTCACGGTGTAATATGTTTCCTAAGTTATGTTATGGGCCATTAGTTAACTATACGTTTTTATAGGGAAATTAGCCATATGGAGCCTTCCCTTCCCATAATATTTGGGGCTAGGAAAACACTTGTCTTCCTATGATTTAAAAAAAAAAAATACTTAATCTACTTTCCTATATCAGTGTTTCAACAAAAATATATAGCACTTTCATCATCAACACTTAATTAGGTTTTATTGCTTTTGTTAGCCATGTATTTGTTAAAAATATACCTTCCATTACACGTTTCATACTTCATTAGGTTTTATTGTTTTAATTAGGCTTGTTAGAAAATTATTTTGTGTTATTTTTACTAACTATGATTCAAATTTTTTTAGCAAACTACCCCTATAAAAATTATTATTTATGGATGAATACAAATTTTGCTTTCAATAACGATGTTCCTTATTTTAATTTTATTTTTGATGAAAGTTTTTGAGATGAAATTTATTTTCTCAAAATTATTTGTTGGTTAATGAGAAATTAATAAATTACTTGAAATATTTAATTATGAAATATATGAAGGTGCTTAGAAACGAGGCAATACTGAGAAATTTTACAAAATGGGCAAAAGCCCGACATAGCAATGCCGCGTGGAGGTAGAAGGCCCTCGGTCGTAAACTTCTTTTCCTTAGAAAATGTGTCAAGGGTGCCCTTCTACTTTTGATAAAAATATTTAAAATTTTAAATATTTCTAAAATTACAACAATACACACACAAACCTAATATACTACACAAACTGCACTAAACCCTTTTCTCCATCTCTTGACCATACTAATTTAAGAACACTACCAAAATTATGGAGCCAAGAGACAATGATGTTATGAGTTAATATTATTTTTATTTTTGGTTCGAGTGTTAGAAAAAAACACCATTGTTTTTGTGAGATGTAATTTTTTTGCACACACAGGCGAAAAACATTACACATTTTCCCTACCGAAATTGAAAAGTGATTATCGATAATTTATTGAATGAAATTGTACCGGAAATTTATTAAATTCTCTGTAATTAAAATTTATCACCTTACCTTAAAATTTGAAAATTTTATATACCTAAGATGATTCAGAAATGTGTATCTTGTTTATTTTATTGCGAACATACAAGATATATACCACTGACATCCAATGATAAAGTAAAGGAAAAAATAAATGGACTAGTACAATGAAAAATTGTAATTGTTGTTTTATACTCAAGGGTTAAAAAAATTAGGGCTCCCACATGAAGAAGTTGGATATGCGATCTTATTGTTATATGTGACATTCGTATACATAGGGGCTTTGACCATATGTCATGACATCAGGTAGACTTTGTAGTGATGAAACGAAAGTTGTAGAAGATTTGTTTTAAGGGGCTTTCACTGGTTAGAGATTGTTGGCATTACGTCAACGAACAACGTTCTTTGTTAAATTTGCATACTTAAAACACGAGAAGGTAGAGAACTAGCTCTGGTCCGCCTCGATATCTTCCATCAAGCAGCCAAAGGCCCCACAACCTGCTTGCTCTTCATATTTGATCACAACCATAAAAATACTCGTAAATCCGCGACTCTAGTAATGTAAGGTATCCACACATCGAATCAGTTCTCTAATTTAATCTCGTCCTAAATGATGATACATAAAAAACATAATGCAGCCACACCCAGACACCATCCTTCACTTTGTCCAAATTCTCAACAAGCTAAGCTGGGAAAAATACTTAACTGGAATTGATACGCCCCTCTTGTTAGACAATATCGTTCATCCCAATAGGTAAAACATATAAGCCCTAGCCATCGCCTTTTGAATTTCCTTATCATCGAGCTAAATCTATGGCGTAACCGCTCCATTTTTACAATAGTCGTCATTCAACCTAAGACATCAATAACATCGATCGTTGATATCCCCAAGGCTCAACCATCAACCAAATCTGTCGGCTCTTTCCCATCCGGCCACTAAGTGATATATGTAGTAGCTCTACCATTAAAATTCTATCAAACAAATCACATCATCCAATTTAATACTCATTTCTCCAAAGTAAATATGGAATGTGTTAGTAGAAGGATCCTAACTCTCTAGAAATGCACCAAGATAGATTTTTTTCGCATTAATATAAGACGATTGCATCAACCCATAAAGATCTGACATTTGTACATAGCTTCTAAAACCTTGCTCCAGTATGCACCTATCCACTTCGTTGTGTGGTTGTTCCTGTTGGGAATCAGGCACGTGTACACAACGGAATTTTTTTTTACATGAAACAAACGATTTAAATCATATAATCACATGCTCGATTCGTATTAAACAATTAATTACGTACTTTAACGCTTCTAGCGAAATTAAATACATCATGCATATTAATTCGATAATTAAACAAATAGCATGCTCGCAACGAAACGTAATACACATACATATAATTTCATGAAAAACGATCAAGTGAAACATACATATCAATTTCATTAAAAACACATAGCACACAATTTAATCTAATTAAATAAAACCTTGTATCTAATGGATCCGAAATATTACCTCTTGAAGCGTGAGGCGAACTATCACATCGAAGCAAACTGCCACGGAAACCAATTCGTGTAGTCGGGAGGAGCAGTGGCGGTGCGGTGGTGACAGATGCGCTCAACGACGGCGGCGCGTGAGATCCACGGGCTGTCTTCGGGCGGCGCGTGCGGCGGTGGCTCGGCCACGACTTCTCGGTAATTCGACTCCTTGATCTTCCTCCTCTCGGATTTCACCTTGTATACTTAGATTTACTAAATACGTGGCATTAGACACGCAAAAGTTAGAATAGATGGAAGAAAAATATGAAAGGAAAGAAACTACCAACGACGAACGGCGCGTGTGGCCGATTCCGGCGACGGGCGGCGGTGGTGGCGACAGCCGTGGTTGAGGATGGCCGATGGTTGTGAGATACGAGCGGCTAGGGTTTGATTTTTGTAAGTTGTGTGCTGTGCAAGACCTATAAATCATGTATTTATAGTGCCTTGTATAAAAGCCCTAACGAGCTTAAGTTGGATCGGGCCCAACAACATAAGTTCGTTAGTTCTTTACTCGCTCGTTTCTAACAACTCAATGATCGGAAAATTGCAATGATTACATTTTCGGAATCATTGTAACATCCTCGTCATTACGAGTGCCAATTCTCGATTTCCAATTTCTAAAAGTGGAAACCCTAATTCAGTGGACTTTCTAAATTTGGAAACTTACCAATTTAGAAAGTTCACTAAGATGTTTGTCTATTCTTTTCCTTTTCTTATTCTCATTCATAATTCCAACTTACGAATGTTGGACTCAATCATATTAACTTCCAATCATGCAAATATTAAACATTTTTATCTTTGACCGTTTATTCAAAGATCTCAAGTGCATGAGCAGTGTGACCCTCGATGGTTCAGGTGTAAGCTAGCCGTGGATCCACAACCTTTGTGGTCTAAACTCGTCCCTTAGAGTTACGATTAAGATGAAGCTCGCTTCAACTTAATCACCCAACGAATCAAGATTGGCATCTAGCAACTACGCGTCATGATTCCCTAGATACAAAAGTGCCTGCAAGAACCTTTTGATACAGTTAACGAACAGTACAATCCCTTCGATTCATATGTTCCGATTGAACTAGAGGCATTGGTTCATCGAGACCTCCTTAGTAATTCAATAACTGTGCGATCGTTCTTAGTGTTGTAATCGGTACGTGCATGACTTAGAGAATCGAATTCTCTAATCATCACTTAGCCAGCTCTGGCCAGAGACTTAGACATTACAAACTATAAGAACACATAGGACATCCAAGACTATTCTAGCGATCGAATCCCCGACTAGGATGCACAGACCTCCCACTTGATTTCGGACTGCACGAACACTGGCCCTTGGGGCGGTCCTCGGTGGAACTCAAGGCTAGGTCATGATACAGCTGGTCCTCTAGTGAAGTCACGGTGATGTCTAGGTCATAAGGACTAAAGGTGTACAACTATACCATAGATATCTTTATTCTATTTGATGAATGTTGTCTATCTAGTGTATCTATAGATGCATCAAGAATATAATAAAAGAGTTTGTTCCATGTGGAACAAGAGGTGCACAACATGGTGGAACAAAATCTCATACGCTTAATGAAGAAGACGAAGTGAGGCAAGGTATCTTAGATGGTCTATCGTTAGCTTGGCCCATTTTGGTTTATTTGATACTTTGGGGTACACGTTAGACCTTTAGCGTCACTAAATAACACAAAAACAAACTTTCACTATAGTATCATAGATGACTTCCACTAAACAAAATTGTTAAATACCCAAATAATATACTAACAAAAGCCAAGTTTCTCGAAACAAGCCACATGTTAGATAATACAACTCAAAGAACAATAAGACATCTTCAACGACGTACTTAAACCATAACACAATCAAAGTTATATGCAAAGTTGAACAGTAGTTGTAAGTGATATTTCATGTAGTTAAATTCTCATTCAAGAACATAAAGTAATGGGAAAATTACACTTTTCGTTCTTCAAGCTTACCACAGTTTCAAATTAGTCCCCCATGTTCACAAAAAAAAGAAAAAACAGATTTAGTCCATTATATCATGTTTAAATAATTTAATACTTTCGGTCATTTTCATTAGTACTAACAAAATCAACCATGTGTCCATTTCTCTTAACTGATGGACTAACGGTAAATTGACGGAAATGGTCAAAAGTGACAAATAATTGAAACAAGAGGGACCGAATGTGTTTTTCTGTGAACATAAGGGACCAAATGTGATAATAGTGCACACTTAAGCGTTGAAAACTGTAACTTTCGCCAAATTTATATATGCACAGTCTTAACACCATAACCAAAAAAATAGGAGTTGTGATATTTCATGTGCTTAAATTCTCACTGTTGTTTC